ATGATATTATTGTCAAATTTTCAATTATAAATATCATATTTTTATTTTAATTAATTATTATATTTTTTAATTTATTAAAAACAAAAAATATGTAATTTTAAAAAATATATATAATGTAAGGATTTAATTAATAATTATATTTAAAAAATGTAACATTAATTATTTAAGATGTGATAATAATCCACCCTTAATAATGCCCCTTGATGAGAATTTGTGCCCCTCATTCAGTTGGTGTTACATTGCATCAAACAGGTAAGCATTACATTATTCCAGCCCACGCACAACCAGGTATATTTAAAAGCATAAGGAGAATCCTCAGGCCAATTACATAAACTTAACAAATATAAAAGGATAAAGATATGTGCACACCTGGGTCAACACCCGGGTGTGCACACTCTCCCATTGAAAAAAAAAAAAACCCAACCTCACCCGGTCCCTTTTTTTTTTTCCTATGTGGGGGTGCACACCCGGTTCACCAATCAGCATCCAATATAAAATCCATTGCATTTGCACCACCTCGTGAGGACTATGGTTCTCACCCTTGAAAATCCTGTTGTTACTCTTTCTCTAAAAACATAGTTTAACTTCTTGTTATTTTTTAATTTTAATTATTTATTTTATCATTAAATTTGTAATTAGTTTTATTTTTTTTAAGATTAAAATAAATAAAGACAAAAATTATTTATCAATTCTTAATGTGTGTAAAAGTAAGAAAATATTATATTATTTTTAGCCGACAAGACAATGCTTTTTAGTTGGGTTGGAACTTGGAGACCATTGATCCAACCGATATACCCGCCGGGAATCAAGGACTTCGTCATTTAGTCAAGTTGATAATTTTAAGAATATGGTGATGGTTAAGATTTAAATTTATCCATTTGAGGGTCCATGTATTAAAAATTTTTTTATGGAAAGAAGGAAATATTTGTTTTTTAATTTTAGATTATATAATAAAAGATAATTTTCTTTTATCTCTTAATTCATCATATATATATATATGTCATGATACTTAAATTTAGAATCTTTTGTTTTCATTAAAAAAATTATTATTAAATTACTTAAATAGTTGGAAAAAAAAAAAACTATTGTAAGCAACAAGCATTACATTAATTAGAGAATGAAGATAGACCAGACACACTAATTAAGTCCTATGTTAGTAAGCAATATGTTCCTTAAGAAATTGCCCTTAAGAAATAATTAACCTCTACTTACAAGTTCTTATATTATTATAAAAACAAAAAGCATTTTATAGTTGAAACTATATTGAATTACAAAATATTAATCATTGAATTAAAGAGGGGCTTCTAATAATAGGAAAAGGTTCTTCCATCTAATAATTAATATTTTATAGTCTAACATATCTCGAATTGTAAAACACCAAACTCTTATTATTAAGGGTACTTGGGGTTTGCATGAATTAGTTTTTGACTATTTTTCTATTTATTTACACCATAAATTGCAATTTTTTAAATGATGCCATGTGTTAATGGATAAGGTGAAGTGACATTAGATTTCTTATTGAAATTCAGATTTGTAAAAATTGATTTTGAGGAATGGTGGAGATTATCTTGTAGGTTGTAGTTTTAATTCAAAAGAAACAAAATTTCATATAATTTAGGAAATGCAGTTGAGAGGTTAAGGTAGCAACAGAATTGTACATGTGGCAAGATTTAATATAGCCTTAACTTGATCCTACTAATTTGTTGGTGTGCCTATTATTTTTTTCGAGAAATTATCCAAAATCTATAATAGCGAGTGGGTGAAGCACAAGGACAGTTCACAAAAAGTGTATAAAAAGAAGCTTTCAAAATTTTCAACACATGACAATCAACCCCACACAAAACTTATCAAAATTTCAATTCTCTAGTCTATTTCAGTTTTAGCACAAATCCCAGTAGATTTAAGTTGTTTTCAGCATTCAAGTACCCCTTTTTTTTTTTTTTATCATTCATTCAAATACCTGAATTAGTTTGTGTAATTACTTCTTTGATTTCCTTTTATGTAATAAACATCAAGTTTTCTCTAATTTGCATTTCATTCGATTCATTTAAGATCTATTAATTTTAAATTCACAGTATCGGTAAAGTTCTTAGGATTGTCCAAAGTAAACTAGCAACTCATTCTGTAGGAAAGACATCCCTCTCTCTTGCAAATCATTTGAAAGGTACAAAACTTAATATAAAACCAACGTTCTTCTAGTCATCCTAATGAAGGTTGATTGCGTGGAAAGAGAAGGTAATTGAAAAAATCCCTTTTTCTTTCTTTTCAAAAAATTAAGTGGTAAACTCGTATCTAGACTTCACATGTGCAAAGTCACTTAAAGGTTTTTGAGGAAACACTATCTAATCCAATTTAATTGGATAGAAGAAATATCAAACCAATCCAATTCACTTAAAGTACTGTAACCAAATCAAAATCAATTCAACTATTATTGGATTGGATTGGCTCAAATTGAATTGATTGGTTTCATCTCAAAGGATAAAAAAACATTTTTGAAAGTTT